AAATAAAATAATTATTTTTTTAGTTAGAGAAGAATAATTACTAGAAATATATATTACATAATATAATGAAAATAATTAACATTATATTTTAATTAATATTTTTTAGTTAATGATATTTTATGAAAATTTCTAATAGTTTTTTTGTTGTTGTTATTGATATCTAATTGTAGTTTTTTTTGGTTTTAATAGTTATAATTAAGATTACACTCAAAAAATACAATAATTATTTAGATAATTAAAATAAAAAAATAAATAAATATTATTTCTGTATAATTTATTTTATTATTGTATTTTTTACTACAATTTTATCTACAAAATTAAATGATTTTCAGTTTATGTTTTTTTTACTTACATAACAACAACAAAAAATAATTTAATTATTTCAGTTTTTTATAAAAAATTTTTTTAGTTATATTTTGTGTCAATAAAAATTGAAAACAAATTATAGAAAAATAAATATTTTATTTTCTATGTATGTTTATTATTGTGAAAAAAACAAACACAAATATTTAATAAAAAAAATATTATATATAATTTTTTTTTTATTAAAAAAAATAAAATGTTTAAACTAAATATTAATAAAATAATACCACAATTACAACACCAACAACAACAACAGTGTCAACCAATTAAAAAAACCAATAATCATCAATTAATACTTGACTTGACAGTGCCTATACCTGTAAACATACGGGTGCCTGGGGCACATACCTATTTATATGAATCGGGACTACTATATCATCAATCATCATCAACTACTACTAGTAGTACAGGTAGTAGACGACACTGGTTAAGGCATCCGATAACCATAACCAGTGTACTGGGCAGCCATCTAATCATACAACTAATATTGTTGGCCATTGTAGACAACTGTCCCCGATGTCATCTGGTAATGGGCGATTTTTTCCAATTAGTCGGCATCAAATATCACTATAAAGTGGGCGCCTCCCTATGGGATCTGCTTAATCTTAGCTATTGTCTAATATTTTACTATAACTATCGGGGCGTAAATATTGAACCAAAATTTTTACGTTTGTTTGATATGATGGCCGGTTTGGTGAGTCCTAAATCAATAGGTCTAACTGATCCCGGTGCTTGCAATATGCTAGTAAAACGTTCGGGTAGATTATTTGGCTCATGTAGATTTCTATGCCGATATGTTAACCATTGGATTGGTTTGATGTGTATATTTCCCTATCTATTGCATAGTCAACAGTTCAGTGATGTCCTACTATATGGTTTACCTAATACACTATACCTATGTTGGGTATCGTCAGCTAATTTTGGACTCAGTCTACCATTGCTTCTCTATTTTTATCTACTGTGTCTATATTTGAAACTAAAATTACGCTCATGTAGTCGACAAATTTCAAAATGTACCAGGTTAATCATCAATAATACTAATAATAATAAATATTATCAATCAATAGATAGTATATTATATAAATTAAATGCTATCTATAGGGAAATAGATGACTACAATAGTAGCTATTGGTGTCTATACCTGTGCTCAGTCTATCTACTGTTGGGACTGGCAGTTGTTGTTTGTTTATTTGGTGTAATGTTTTTACAGTTTAACCTGGCTACCCGATTAATTGGCTACTATTGTACCGGTTGGTTTGCCTATTTGATGCATTTTATATTGGTTCAAGCAGCATCAGTTAACTATGAGGCTAACCTAGCTTATAAATTGTTAAATAGTTTATATTGTAGCATGGTAAATAATAATAATAATAATTATCATCATCATCAATCAACAATAACAATTTTATGCAAGGTAAATATTTACAAAAATAAATAAATAAAATTATTTCTAAATTTTATACTGTATTTTATGTTTGATTTTTTTGTTGTTGTAAATATTAACTTAAAATTTTATTTTCATATATGAAATATATGAAATGTTTATTAATTAATTAATTAATTTTTGTTGTTGTAAATTTTTTTTAGCTAGCTAATTTTATTGAATTACTATCAACTAATAATCAATTGGGATTTTCGTGTTGGCAATTGTTTATTTTTAATTATTATCGTTTATTTGAGGTAAACAAAAAATTTATAGCTATTTTTAATATTATAATTTAAAAAAAATAAAATAATTTAATTATATTTTTCAATAATAATAAATAAAAAATTAATTTCTAAAATTTTATATAGAATTACATGTTTTTGGCGGTGTTAATGTTGAAAATTTATGAAATATCATTATAGAAATTTATGGAAATTTTTTTTATATAAAAAATACTGTAATTTACAGTACATTGGGTTGAATAAAGTATTAATAAATATATATATATATACAGTAGTATTGATTAATATTTGTTGTAATATTATTTTTTGACAAAATAAAAATTTATATCATTTATCACTAGACTATATACAGTATATTGACGTTAATGATGTTATTAAACTAAAATAATTTATATAATATACTAAAATGATTAATATATTTGTATATTTTTAGTTATAAAAATATTTTATAAATATTCATTAATATTTTATTTATTTATTTATTTTTATATTTCAAGTTTCATTTACATAAAACTGTAGTTAAAAAATATTAATACATTATACTTAATACAGTAAATAATAATAATATAAAGTATTTTTAATATTCAAATTAAATATTAAGTTCAAAATTTTAATATTGTATACACTTTTTAATATACAATGTGTATAACAAATTTACATTAAAATATTTTTAAGTAAAAATAATAATAATAATAAATAAGTTTTTAACAAAAAATAATTGAAATTATTGAAAAAAATATATATTATAATATTATTATTGTTAAGTGTATTATAAATAATTATTAAGTGTATTATATTTAACAATACAATACAGTAATGAATAGTAAAAACATAAAAATTACAAATAAATCACAATTTATTAATTGCTACAAACCATTGCCTACAAACATACGGCTGCCTCGGGCACATACCTATTTATATGAATCGGGACTACAATTACCTAATAAATATCAATCATCATCAACTAGTAGTAGTACCGGTAGTAGTAGTAGTAGTAGTAGTGGACGACACTGGTTAAGGCATCCGATAACCATAACCAGTGTACTGGGCAGCCATCTAATCGTACAGCTAATATTGTTGGCCATTGTAGACAACTGTCCCCGATGTCATCTGGTGATGGGCGATTTTTTCCAACTAAGCGGCATCAAATATCACTATAAAGTGGGCGCCTCCCTATGGGATCTACTTAACCTTAGCTATTGTCTACTATTCTACTATAACTACGGGTACAACCATCAAACTAGTGATGATGATGATGATGATGGACCCGAGTTTATGCAACTGTTTGAAATGTTAGCCGGTCTACGTAGTCCCAGTTCACTGGGTCTAACCCACCTGAGCTCAGTTAGCTATGTAGTGAAACGTTCACACTGGTCATTCGGCTTATGTAGATTTATGTGCCGTTATATCAATCATTTGATTGGTTTGATGTGTTTGTTTCAATATCTAGTAAAAACTAATAGTTTCGGGGATGTCCTACTCTATGGTTTACCTAATACTATACATTTATGTTTGGTTGCCTCTAGTAATTTTGGTATCAGTTTACCATTGATGACCTATTTTTATCTAATTTGTCTGTATTTGCGTCTAAAACATAGACATCTAGTGAATAGGCTAATTGATAGCATCAACACCACTACTACAACAACCACCAGGTGCTCAACTAATGTTAATACCAATAACCACAAACAACATAAACGTATCCAGGTGCACTATTATACTACTAATATTAATCAATATAGAAATATACTAACTAGACTACATTTATTGCACCGGGAGATTAATAACTATAATACAGGGTTATGGAGTCGATACCTGTGCTTGGATTATCTACTATTAGGCTTAACAGTAGTTTGTTGTCTATCCGGGCTATTGTTTCTTGAATTTAATTTAATTACCAAATTGATTGGCTATTATTGTACCGGGTGGTTTATCTATTTTCTATATTTTATATTGTTCCAGGCTGCATCAATTAATCGACAATTAAAACTAGCTTATCCTGTATTAAATAGTTTATATTGTCATCAAATTGCTAATAGTAATCGTAATCGTAATAATAATAATAATAAGTATCAAGTTAGATTTTTGTTTAAGGTAATTTTTTTAAAGTTTGTTTAACTATTTATAATTTTTTTTGATAGTATAATGTTTTTTAAAATTAACAATTATTATTATTTTTTAATTAATAATAATTATTTTTTTAATTAATGATTATTGTTTTTTTTATTAATAATAATTATTTTTTTAATAATAATAATTATTTTTTTATTAATAATAATAATTAATTTTTTATTAATAATTATTTTTTTAATTAATAATTATTATTTTTTTTAATTAATAATAATAATTTTTTTGTTGTTGTTAAAATAATAAATAAATTTATTTATTTGTTGTTGAAATTTTAGCTATCTACATCAATTGAGTTTATGGCAAACAAGCATGATGGTTTTACTTGTTGGCAGCTATTTGTTTTTAATCATTATAGCCTAGTTGAGGTTAGTGGTAAATTAATTTTTTAAAAAAATAACATTAAAAATAATTATACAAATTTAATATCATAATTATTAAATAATAAATATTAATTTTTATCTATCATATTTATTTATAGAATTTTGGCGTTTTAGCATTGTTAATGTTGAAAATATATGAAATTTCCATATGAAAATTTTTTAGTATAATTAATAATTAGTAGATACTAGATATATTTTCTAAATTATAATAATTTTTTTAATAAAATTTACAATTAAGTAAAAAAAAATATCAATTAGATTATTAAATAATTTTTTTTCTCAAAATTAATATTTTATTTAATTAATAAAATTTATTAGAAAAACTAATAGAAAATTTTATAATAAATTTTTTAGTTATATATATAAAAAATGTAAACTAAATATCAACAAAAATATTACACCAATAGTTAATCTCAATAACAAAAAAAAATAATTAACTAATAATTAATTAATTAATTATTAGTAATGTTTCCAAAAGCTATTACATTCAATATCTTTTAAATTGTGGCCAAAATTTGAGGGAAATTTTTGCTGATCTCGAAACTCATAGTAGGGTTTGATAACAGTTTGCTTATCAAACTGATAGTAGGCCGGCCATTGGGCACCCGACTGTCGGGGAGGTCTATCCGATTTGGCAAATGTGCTAAAAACGTCAATCATATGTCTGGATAGTTGACGTTCCTCATCGAGATAACTGTCCGGTTTGATAAATGGATTACCAAACAGATAGTATATATCATCAAAATGACAGGCACCCGACCATCGGCTACATAACATTTTAGGCTGACCCAGTTTCATATTATAATAGTATTGATAGACCTGGGCACTGGGATCACCGCCTTGAATATACTGTCCAAATATTAAAGTATCGCAACCGATAACCATATCGCCGACAGCAACGGCCAACTGCTGGCGTAACTGATCGCTACTACTACTGGACTCCGGGGATAGTCCAGTAAAATAGTAGTCAACAATCTGGTCGACATAATCACTGTCCACTCGAAACCTATGCAATATCTGTCTGTACTCATGGCGTACACTATCGTAATCAAGCGGTTCGGGTGATTGTAGACTGAATCGGGTGCTATTGAACATCGACAACAACATACTGCCCTCATCCTGTACCGTACCGATCAATAGATTCATACCCTGTTTGAAATCACCCGATTGTAACATATCGTAATAATTATCGGGCATTAGCTGGCCGTCCTCGACAATAAATAGACCGGTTCGGGTATCTGTCCACAGGTCGATCATATTGATCAGATCGCGGGCCGGTTTCTCCAACAAACAATCAATCATACCCGGGCTAAACCTATAGCTATCGAGGGGTTGATCGGGTTGAATATGACTGTCACCGCAACCAACTTCAGCCGATAGTCTGGCCCAAACATGTTCGGCATAATCCAGTGATGGCATAACATAGCGTCGGGTAGCGACAGCACCGGACATTAGTATAGCGTTACGAAACAAGTGTCGACTAACTGGCGATAMTATATGCATGGATACGGCTGATGCACCGGCACTTTCGCCAAATATGGTTACCCTCCCGGGATCACCACCAAAATATCGGATATTGTCCTGAACCCATTCCATGGCCAGCGATTGATCCCAAAATGCTTGATTACCCGGAGCCGGTCCATCCCGGCCAGTGTATAGCAACCCGAATGTATTCAGCCGATAGTTAATGGTAACGACCACTACATCGCCCAGTATTGACAGGACTTTCCCGTTGTAGAACTCGTCGGCAGCCGTTCCCCATATCAGACCGCCTCCGTGTATCCAAAACATGACTGCCTTTAGCTGACCAGTTTGTCGGGCACTAGTCGGTGACCATATATTCAAATACAGACAGTCCTCGCTGTGCGATACGTTGTTATAGTCTGAATGATAGTGCTGATGATGACATGCCGGTGCCCAATGTCGGGCATCATACGGTTCAGTCCACGGTTTGTCGTCCAGTGGTAACGGTCGACGAAATCGTAGCCTACCTACCGGTGGCTGTGCATAGGGTATACCCAGATATACATCCAAATCGTGGCCATCATAGCTATCTCGTAGACCATTGACCACACCTTTACTTAACCTAACACTTACTAAATCATTACTACTATCACTACTACTACTACTGTCATCCGTACAACTGATTTCATTAACAATTATTGTTAAAAATGTTAATAAATTAAAAAATACAAAACAATTAAATTTAAACATTTTTTTTGAAAAGAGAGAGAGAGAGAGACTTTAATTGCAAATTATTTTAAAAAAATATTTTGATTAAAAAAATATGTTATTTTATATATAATATTACATTATAAATGTCTAAAATGTATTAATGTCTAAATTTATATAATCTTATATCAAAATCTATATAATTATATATTTATAGTATTATCTATAGTATTATCTAATGTTTGAATGATATAATACAAAATGTTTATATTAATATATATATATATATATTTGATAAATATAATTTTATTTTAATAAATATTATATACAGTATAGTAATTAAATGTTATAACCATTACTTATATTTAATTAAATATTCTTTTTAAAGCAAATATAACTATAATTATTATTATTTTAATTTTAATTTTATAATTATAAAATTATTAATTAATTTTTTTTAAAATTAGCATTAATATTAATTATTGTTTATAAATTTTTTTTTAAATAAAAATTATAAAATATTTTATGATAAATATTATACATTTATTGTACTGTATTATTAAATATTTATAATATGTTTATCTTAATGTTACAATAATTATCTTAATATTATATCATATTACTTAATTTAGAAAAAATTGATTATTATATTATAAAAAATCTATAATTAATTTTAATTAAAAAAAATCATAATCATAGTTATAGTCTAATAATTTTTTTCTCATAAACAAGCTTAATGTTCAAGGTTAATTTTTTGTTGTAAAAAATATAGCTTATATTAAATAAATAAATTATATTTGATGTAAATATTTTAAAAAAAAACATTTTAAACAAAAAATTAATTTTGATTAAATTAAATAAATAAATAATATATTACTTATTAATAGTATATAATATGAAATATATATATATATATAACTTAAGTTATTATTTATTTTTTAAAAAATGTTAATTATAAGTTTTTGATTTATTTTTAATAAACTTTTTTTTATTAACATTTATTTCAGCAATTGTTTCATAATTATTATTTTTTTTAGTCTAAAACTATAAACTATTTTACATTACTGTATCAGTCATGTAATAATTGCGTAAATAAAACGAAACGATTAATCAAAAAAATAAAATAAATAAAATTATAAAAAAAACTTTTCGTTTTAATTACACACAAAAAAATGATAACTAAAAATACGATATCAAATAAAACAACGTTAGATATGACATACAGTAATAATTATATATATAATATAATATATATATATAACTATTTATAGAAAATTAATTTATTATTATTATTATTAATAATGATTTTTTTGTTATAAAACTTTTTAATTATTTATTTTAAAAATAAAGTTATTTTCTACAGTGTAAATATAATATTATTTATTTGCTAACTATAAATGCCACAATATATTGTATATATAGTGTTATTTTAAATGAATATTATTTATAAAATAACATATTTTTTTAATCAAAATATTTTATTTAAAAAAAAATAAATATTTTTTAAAAAATAATTTTCAATTACAAGTCTCTCTCTGCAAAAAAATGTTTAAATTTAATTGTTTTGTATTTTTTAATTTATTAACATTTTTAACAATAATTGTTAATGAAATCAGTTGTACGGATGACAGTAGTAGTGATAGCAATGATTTAGTAAGTGTTAGGTTAAGTAAAGGTGTGGTCAATGGTCTACGAGATAGCTATGATGGCCACGATTTGGATGTATATCTGGGTATACATATGCACAGCCACCGGTAGGTAGGCTACGATTTCGTCGACCGTTACCACTGGACGACAAACCGTGGACTGAACCCTATGATGCCCGACATTGGGCACCGGCATGTCATCATCAGCACTATCATGCAGACTATAACAACGTATCGCATAGCGAGGACTGTCTGTATTTGAATATATGGTCACCGACTAGTAGTACTACCCGACGACAAACTGGTCAGTTAAAGGCAGTCATGTTTTGGATACACAGCGGCGGTCTGATGTGGGGAACGGCTGCCGACGAGTTCTACAACGGGAAAGTCCTGTCAATACTGGGCGACGTAGTGGTCGTTACCATTAACTATCGGCTGAATACATTCGGGTTGCTATACACTGGCCGGGATGGCCAGGCTCAGGGTAATCAAGCACTATGGGATCAGTCGCTGGCCATGGAATGGGTTCAGGACAATATCCGATATTTTGGTGGCGATCCCCAGAGGGTAACCATATTTGGCGAAAGTGCCGGTGCCTATGCCGTATCCTTGCATATAGTATCCCCTGTTAGTCGACACTTGTTTCGTAACGCTATACTAATGTCGGGCGGTGTCGGTACCCGACGTGAACTAATGATATCCCCGGAATATGCTGTACAGGTATGGGCCAAACTCGCAGCTGAGGTAGGTTGTGGGGACAGTCATATTCGACCCGATCAACCAGATAGCTTATGGTTTAGCCAGAAAATGTTGGATTGTTTGATGTCGAAACCGGCCCRTGAATTGATAGGTATGATTCAGCTATGGAAAGATACCAGTGCCGGTATGTTTATCGTACAGGATGGCCAGATGATGCCTCGGGAGTATTTCAAAATGTTAGAATCGGGTGATTTCAAACAGGGTTTGAATCTATTGTTTGGTACCGTCCAGGATGAGGGTAGTGTTATGCTACCCCTGTTCAATAGCACCCGATTCAATCTACTGGCGCCCGAACCGCTTGATTACCATAGTGTACGCCATGAGTTCAGGCAGATATTGCATAGGTTTCGAGTGGACAGTGATTATGTCGACCAGATTGTTGACTATTATTTTACTGGACTATCCCAGGAGTCCAGTAGTAGCGATCAGTTTCGTCAACAGTTGGCCGTTGCTGTCGGCGATATGGTTATCGGTTGCGATACTATAATATTTGGACAGTATATTCAACGTGGCGATCCCGGTGGTGCCCAGGTCTATCAATACTATTATAATATGAAACTGGGTCAGCCTAAAATGTTTTGTAGCCGATGGTCGGGTGCCTGTCATTTCGATGATATATACTATCTGTTTGGCAATCCATTTATCAAACCGGACAGTTATCTGGATGAGGAACGTCTACTATCCAGACATATGATTGACGTTTTTAGCACATTTGCCAAATCGGATAGACCTTCCCGACAATCGGGTGCCCAATGGCCAGCCCACTATCAGATTGGCGATACACTAGTCAAACCTTACTATGAATTTAGTAATTATCAGAAATTTCCCTCAAATTTTGGCCACAATTTAAAACATATTGAATGTAATGAGTTTTGGAAACGCTTTTAATTATAATTTATTACTTAATAATTATTTAATATATAATAAATTGAATATTGTTTTTATGTTTTTTTTTTGAATAAATAGTTTTTAAATGATTTTTATTTTAAATAATAATAAATTTTTTTTAATAATAATAAATATATAATATCCAAAAATGAGATAATTATTTTAATTATTTATAACAACAAAAATATTTCATTAATTTTTTTTTATGATTTTTTGTATATAACATATATAAATATTTATGCAATAGTTGTTTATGAAATTATATTATATTTTTTAAATACATATTTTGATTATTTTATTTTTTTTGCACATAGTTTGATAACATTATTGCAATACTATTATAAAATGACATGAAATAAATAGATTATATATATATATATTTATGAAACTTTTATTTCTAGAATCAACTTAAATAATATAATTATTTTTTTAAAAAAATAAATTAATTATAAAATAAAATTGCATTTTCATAAGTTATATACCGTATTTAAATTATGTTTTTATTTAAGTACAATATAATAATAATACTAATAATAATAATACTGTAATATCATTGTCAATAATATTGCTTAACATCAACTAATGTTGAAAATATAAATTACTAAATAATAATTAAGAAAAAAAATAATATAATAATAATATAATAATAATAATACTAAGAAAATCTAATATTAGTTTTCAGTGTGAATTGAAAATGTAATAATAATAATAATAATAATAATAATAATAATAATAAATATAGATTTAATTAGAAAATAAAAAAAAATATCTATAATTATAATTATAATAATTAAAGAAAATATTATATAATATTATGTTTTATAGTGTATCAAAAAAAAAATATTATTTTTATAAAATATATATATATAAAAAATAATTATTACTTATCACTATTGTTATTTATAAACTATGATACAGTATATAATACATGTAAATATCATTTTTGTTGTTGAATAGTTGTTATATATATATTTTTTTATGGGATAAATATATAATTTTTTTGAAAAACATGATAATTTGTGATTTATCATATATGTTATACAAAGTAAAATTAATAATAATAATAATAAAATAATACAGTATTAATAAATTATAATTAATTTAATTAACAAAAAAAAATGTATATAATTATTAACTATTAAACAGTAATGATAAAAATAAAAAATAAGGGATAAAAATTGTTTTTTTTTTTTTGATTAATTTTTTCTCTAAATAATATTAATTTATTAATTTTTGTTGTTGTAAAAACATAAATGTCAACAACAACTAATTCATGTAACAAATGTCTGGCCGATTGGCTACGTGTTGATCGGGCCGGCAGTCAATTATATTCAATTGGGTTATGTCTGAAAAAACCGCAACAATTATCATCACCAGTAGTGAGACGTCAACTACCGCGACACTGGACCGGCCATCCCTTGACAGTGACACTAGTTTTATGGACATACCTACTGGTAAACATTGTACTGGTGGTCAATCGGGGGCGCAATCAATATCTAGTGGTACTGTTGGGCGACTTTTCCGAAATGGCCGGCTATGGCCTACACTATAAGCTGGCAGTCATAATGTGGACGGTATTGAATACAAGCATACAATTGATATTTTATTATCAACAGTGGAGTGGGAGGGGGAGGACAGGCCTACTGGAAGCTCAGTCGCCAACATTTATGCCTGTTTTCGATATGATGTCCGGTTTGCGTACACCCCTCAGTGTCCAATTAGACGACTGGCCTAAAATAGTTAGCTATATTAAACTATCTAAACAATTATTTACCTGGGCACATTTTGTAACACATAAAACTATACCATTGTTTGGCCTGTTGTGTATTGTCTACTATCTACTTGAGCAACCACTATGGCAGGCCCTACTATATGGCATACCTAATACGCTATATCTAGCATTGTTAAGCTATAGTAATTTTAATATATCTATTTGGTGTATTGTCTATTTCTACCTGGTACATTTGTATTTGAAATTATTGATTTCATCTATATGCAAGCATATTACTATTACTATTAATAATAACAACAATTTAAATCAACATGCAAATTTATTGAACGAAAAATTGTGCAAGCTAATCTTATTGATTAACAATTATAATCTAAGTTATTGGTCTAAATATCTACTAGTTGTCTGGATACTATTGGGTACGATTACAGTTATAGTTTGCTATTCAATTATATTTGTCCAGGCTAACTTATTAATTAAATTGATATTCAGTTATTTTCTAATTAATTTAACTATAATATTGATATTTCTAATGTATACTACTGCATCAATTAACCTAGAACTATTCAAATTGTATAAGCTATTAAATTTATATTATAGAAAATTATGTATTATTAGATATAATATTAATATTTTAAATAATAATAATAATAAGAAAAATAATAATGATAATAATTTTATTAATCAAAATATCATTGGTATATTTATTTTAAATACATTAAATAATTTAAAGGTATTATATTAGTATTATTATTATTTAGTTAAATTGTTATTATTGAGTTAAATTATTATTACTTAATTAAATTATTATTACTTAATTAAATTATTATTATTTAGTTAAATTATTATTATTGAGTTAAATTATTATTACTTAATTAAATTATTATTACTTAATTAAATTATTATTATTTAGTTAAATTATTATTATTGAGTTAAATTATTATTACTTAATTAAATTATTATTATTTAGTTAAATTATTATTATTGAGTTAAATTATTATTACTTAATTAAATTATTATTACTTAATTAAATTATTATTATTTAGTTAAATTATTATTATTGAGTTAAATTATTATTACTTAATTAAATTATTATTACTTAATTAAATTATTATTATTTAGTTAAATTATTATTATTTAGTTAAATTATTATTACTTAGTTAAATTATTATTACTTAGTTAAATTATTATTATTCAATTAAATTATTATTATTTAGTTAAATTATTAATTAATTAATTATCTAGCTAATGAGATGGTTAGAAATATTTGCTAGACGCGATATTGGTTTTACCTGTGGCAATTTATTTATCATCAATTATACTAGATGCTTTGAGGTAAAAAAATATTATATATATATATTTAATTAATTAGTAATAATAATAATAATTTTTTAAAAATAAAATATTAAAACATAATAATTAAAAATAATTTTTTAAAAATATATACAGATTGTATCATTTATGACCGTATTATTCATTAAGTTAATGGAGATATCATTTAATAATATATAGAAAATAAAATTACTATAATTGTTAATGTACTGTATATTTAATTTTTTTTAATAGTTGTATAAAATAAATTTTAAAAAACATTTTTAAATTACTTTATATTATTAAAAATTTTATTAAAAATTAATATACAGTATATTACCAAAAAAATATTCAAAATAATTTATAATTACAATATTTTATAGTTTTTTTTTATAAATTATAATATTGATTTTATTTTTATTTTTGTTTAAAATTACTCTATATAATAGTTTTTATAGAAATTTTTATTTTATATAAATAATGATTATTATTTATTGATAAATATATTATAATATTGTGTGACATTAATTAATAATTCATTTGAAAAAATAAATAAAATAATATTTTTTTTGTTTGTTTATTGCTTTTATTGTATTGGAAAATATTTGCACCAAACAAATAAAATTCACTAATATATATATATATATATATATATATATATATATATATATATATATTTGAATTTATTGCAAATGTATAGTATTTTTTATTTTTTTTTGTTAACTTATTTAGTAAAATATTTATCTATTTTAATATAATATAACTATTAATCTTTTATTATTATAGCAAATAAAAAATATATATTTTAAATAAATAATTATTTATAAGCATGAAAATCATTAATCATTTATAATATATCAGTTAATATAAATATTAGTATTTTTTAAAAATTATTTACAAAGTTATTATTATTAGTATTATTTTCAATATACAAAAGTTTAGTTCAACAAAGAAAATATTTTATATTTAATATATAAATTGTTAAACTATTTTGTATATATATATTATATACAATATAAATAAAAAATATATTTTCAAAAATTAAGCTAGCTTAACTAATATTATTATTATTATTATTATATATATATAACAACAACAATTGATAATTAACTACTAATTAAATACAGTTTTTTTTAAAAAAAATATATAATAAATAATAATATTGTTAAACAACAACAAAAAATAATATGACAACTATTGCATGCGACAAATGTTTGCCACCTGAACAACGTGTTGATCGGGCCGGCAGTCAATTGTACGCAATCGGGTTGTCATTGACTAAACCAGATATACTACCTAACCTAACAACAACAACATTGAAACCCAGCCGACACTGGACCGGACATCCCATAACAATATCCATAGTATTGTATTCATATATAGTCATCTGTATTATACTATTGATTAACAATAATGGCAATAATTATCTACCAGTCCTGTTGGGTGATTTTTCCCAGATGTTGGGCAGTCATACAGTGGGACAGGTCTATAAAATTGCCGCAATTATGTGGATTACAAAAAATCTATGTATCCGATGGATATTTATCTATAATTATTATTATACCTATACGGGCACTGGTAGTAGTTGTATAACATTTATGCCCGTATTTGATATGCTTGCCGGTAAACGTACGGCTAGTAGTATTGGACTAGTAGTAGTAGACGATCGGGGACAGGTAGCAAAATTTGTCCGTTTAGCTGGCAAATTGTTTCCAGTAGTATATTGGCTAACAACTAGACTGACCCCGGTAACCGGTCTAATGTGTTTGATTACCTATTGTATATATGTTAGACCCGTGAGCACTGGTATATTGTATGGCCTACCCAATACTGTCTACTTAATGTTGGAACTGTATCAAACATTTTCGATAAGTACCTGGATGCTTGTCTATTTTTATCTACAACATTTATATTTTAAAATTAAATTGAAAAATATACAGCAAAAAATTCAATCATATTT